GACGTCGCGAAAAATAACATTTTACTTTGGCGACGTCATTACCTCCCCTGTAACTGTATCGTATGCCCTTAAGATGTACAAGTACATAAGTTGTGATACACTGGGGATGTCTTGATTAATTGATTGAATGATGTTTTGCTTCATGTCCAGTGGCAAATTTTTCATAAATATTCAATTAAAAATTAACAAATAAATTTAATAGATAGGCATGCAAAGTCATTGGTTTGAAAGGATTAAAAAAATTTCCATTGTTTGCCAAGTTTACACTGAAAACAGACATAAACACCCATCAGAGGTGACCGGTATGTAGGGTCTTGTTTTACGTTGGAAGTTGCAGGAGTCACTCACATGGGGGAATTGATAGGACATAGTTATATAAGTCTGCTTATTGCAGTGCTTTGTCAGGAACTCATGCAGACTACTGTTAAAATCAGATGTTTTCATGCTTTTTGCAAACTTCAGACGGAATCAAATTTGACAAAAAGAATATTTTCAGGTGAAACATATGTGAATGTTTAATACATTATTGGAAAAAATCCCAAAATCTCAGTTGCAAAGTAGGGGAATGTGACCTTACTACCATAATAGCCAATGGAAATGTCATAATTTTGTAGAACATTGCAGGAATTGCCAACCAATTTAAAGCATTTTTCTTATCACTTATTCATATCACACTCTGATAAGTGTGATACCAGAAATACCTCTTCATGCAGGAATTAGATAATAGGTCATAACCATTAGAGAAATAGATTAATTGACATGTAACATGCCTGTATATTATAATGTATTTGATGTCAAATATTTACCAAAACCAATTGTATATCAAACATTTTACCATAACGTTACAAGTAAAAGCGTGTGACATTCAGCGCAGTGAATATCACTTTTCTCCAGGTGATTATGCTTTTTAGCTCACCTAGCTCGAAGGACCAAGTGAGCTTTTTTCATCACTTGGCGACCATCGTCCGTCGTCTTCGTCATTAACTTTTTACATTTTGAACTTCTTCTAGAGAACCACTGAATGGAATGAAACCAAACATGGCATTTTCCTTATGAGGTGCTGACCAAGTGTTGTTACTTTGTAGCAAATCCATCATCCAAGATGGCCGCCAGAGAGTTTAACAAAGGACCCTATGGGAAATACATACAAATGTCTTATTTTAGAGAACCACTAAATGGAATGAAATAAAACATGACAGAATGTTCCTTATGAGGTGCTTACCATGTGTTGAAACTTTGTAGGCGATCCATAATCTAAGATGGCCGCCAGCGGGGACATAGTTTAACATAGGGTGCTATAAACAGTTAATTTCGTATAAAAAACTAGGGGTTATTCACCGACTAAAAATAACCATGGAGGGAAACCCCTGTTTATTTACTTAATTGGTGAAAAAGTATCATGTTTTTTGTATTTGATTGTAAAAATTAGTTAATTAGCTTTCAATTAAGATAGGTTGAATGATTGAAATAATTTTAAAAATTAGATTAAATATACATGTTTTGAGTGGAGACAACACTATAAACATCCTGTTTTTTTGGCAGTGAAAATTGAAAACTTATTTGCAGCCACTGTAGCTCTTTTTGGAGCAGGAGACCGTACCCTGAAACGAGATTTTTTTGAAAGGCCAGGTAAAAACCTATGAATTTCATACAGTTTTGAATATGTAAAATGTGCCTGTATCTTGTCTTCATGGGTATGTGTAACAGCCACTATGTTCCGTCAGTTACTTTGTTCCGGCGGAACTTTTCAACTAGTTATTTCGTTTCGATGGAACTTTCCAACTAGTTGTTTTATTCCGAGTGCAGTCGAAAAGTTCCGGAAAAAAGTAGCTACTTGAAAAGTCCCGGAACAATGTAGCAAACAGAAAAAGTTGCATTATCATGCAAATTTAGTATTCATAGTACCCTCAAGAGAGGGAAGAATACCCCCTCCTCATGTGGGTACTTTTAAAAATATCAATTTCAGATTAATGTATAACAATAAATTAGAACTTATTCCGTTATGAAGGCAACATTCTGACCGAATTAAGTACCATAATAATGAAGAGGGGGAAGAATGAGGATCAGTATATAAGACACTTTTGTTCCCCTTTGAAAAAGTTCAAAGATAATATGTTGCGCTTTTACTTTGCATCAATTCTCCAAATGGAACTTTGTGACTGGTTGATAAGTTCCGTTGGAACTTTTGGGCTAGTTTGTTAGTTCCGGTTTTGACTTATTTGCCAAAGAGGAACTTTGTGGCTAGTTGATAAGTTCCTTTTGACTTTTGTAATCAGTATCTTGGTTTCCCTTTGAAATGTTCAAATATAATATGTTGCGCTTTTACTTTGCATCACTTCTCCAAATGGAACTTTGTGACTGGTTGATAAGTTCCGTTGGAACTTTTGGGCTAGTTTGTTAGTTCCGGTTTTGACTAATTTGGCAAAAAGGAACTTTCTAACTAGTTGATATGTTCCGTTGGAACTTTTCAACTAGTCACTTTGTTCCAGTGGAACTTTTAAACCAGAGGAAGAACAAAGTAACTAGTTAATAAGTTCCTCCGGAACTTTTCGGCTAGTTAGTTCTTTTCGCCCGGAACTTTCCAACTTTGGAACAAAAGAGCATTTACATATGCACATGACCTGATTTCAGTTTTTTTATGTTCAGATTAGGCCTTTTTTTCCCCATGTTCTCTGGATGGAACTTTTTTAATACATTAAAAGTACACTTTATTTTTATTTCATTATAAACTAGAGAAAATTCTGATTCCAGTGATATCTAGTTTTATACAAGTATCTTCATTAATCATTCCACCACTAAGGGTCACTTATGCATGGTTCCTCAAAATATGACATCATAGAAAAAAACTGTTGATTGCACCCATAGGACCCTATTGGAAATACATAAAAAGTCTTCTTTTAGAGAACCACTGAATGGAATGAAAACAAACATGGCATGAATGTTCCTAATGAGGTGCTGGCCAAGTGTTGTTAGAAAAGGACCCTATGGGAAATATATACAAATGTCTTCTTCTAGAAAACCACTTAATGGATTGAAACCAAACATGGTATGAATGTTTCTTTTGAAGTGCTGACCAAGTGTTGTTACTTTGTAGCTGATTTGTCATCCAAGATGGCTGCCAGCAGGGGGAGTAAGTTTAAGGAAGGGGAGCTGTACAGTTCATATCTTGTATGAAATTGCTTACTGTCTCCCATATCCAAGATGGCCGCCAGCGGGGAACTTAGTTTAACATAGGACCCTATGGGATATACATACAAATGTTTTCTTCTAGAGAACCACTGAATAGAATGAAACTAAACATGGCATGAATGTTCCTAATGAGGTGCTGACCAAGAGTTGTTACTTTGTAGCCGAACCATCATCCAAGATGGCTTCCAGCAGGGGACTTAGTTTAACATAAGACCCTATGGGAAATACATACAAATGCTTCTTCTAGAGGAGCACTGAATGGAATAAAACTAAACTTGGCATAAATGTTCCTTATGAGGTGCTGATGAAGACCTGAATACATGTATCTTTATAGATTGAGATCTACTGTAAACTGCAAAAATATCAAGAAAAGAAGATCTACACATAAGTCAACATGAGCAATATTGTCAATTGACATCTTGTTGGAGTTATTGTCCTTATAAAGTAATTTTCTACAATTTCAATGAATTTATTGGTAATTTCTGTAAACTGTACAAAAGTCTTCTGCTTTTGATTAAATTACGGGGCCAATATTAAACCAAATTTGGCATCAATCATTATTAGGGTATCTGTTACGATTTTAATCTATTTTTACATGATTTCCAAAACCAAAGTAGAATCAGGTGAGCGACACAGGCTCTTTAGAGCCTTTAGTTTATTCTAAATCCAATTCATAAAGAGAAAACGTACTAAAATAATACTAATATGGAATATTTTTGTTTATTCAATTTTTTTTTCAACTTTGCCTTATAAGGGGAGGAAACTTTTGTAAAGGAATGTGTTATGAATTTACTTATTTTGTTTCGTAGCAAGAAAAAGAGTCCTGTGACCCCAATATTTCTTTTTATTTTCAGAAAGCACATTATTAGAGCTATCTTCTCATATTTTGTCTTAAAATTCTATTGTTAGGTTTTCTTTTTATCACACGAAATAGGGTTTTCCATGCATTATAATCTATACAAAATCTGAAAATTTTGAACAACCTTTAGCTTGAAAAAAAGCCCTGTGACCCATACATATGATACTTTTTATTATATTTTTGAAAAAAGCATGACATATATATTAAAACTACATTTTGGCAAATTATTAAAAATTCTATCGATTGTAATTTAGGCCCCCCATCTACATTAACTGAATCATTCATTTGTTTTTTAAATATAAAGTTAATACAGCCATGCATTCTCTTAAGTCAAGATCATTTGAAAAAAGTAATTGATATATACATAATACAGTCAACTCTCTTTATCTCAAAGTTGTTTGGACTGACAAAATGTTTTTTGTGATACATGTATCAGGAGTTTAAATAATGCAAATCTGTTAATTGGAACGCCAATTTTATTTTTGAGATAACTGAAATTTTGAGATAAAACAGTTTGATATGAAGAGAGTCGACTGTAGTTTCTTAAAACATGATTGTCAATAACATTTGACCAAGTGCATATACACATAAACCTAGGTTTACAAATGTTAGTCCAAATGGCAAAAAGATAGTTTTGGTAAAAGCACTGAAATATATTATTGATAGATGAGATATAATAAACTATGATAATATTTTGTACTATAGATAAAACTAGTTATATACTCAGTAAAGAAGAATCAACGTAGGCAAGAGTGTCAGAAAGGTTATTGAAAATTTTCATCCTATTTTAAATAACCTTTCTGACACTCTTGCCTATGTTGATTCTTCTTTACTAAGTATATAACTAGTTTTATCTGTAGTCTTGCAATTTTTTGCTTGTACAATATATATAAGGCAGCAGAAAATTTCCGATCTCAAATACACACTAAAGTTTCATGTTAATTTTTTTTAGAGAGAAGATGGAAGCTTTGTTCAACCAGCTAAAAAGAGAGTTACTTAATCCTGAAAACACAATGGAAGATTCATTTAATTTACTTAATGAACTTAGGGTTGCTACAGAAAGAAACTTTGCATTAAAGAAAATGTTTTGGAAGGTGAGTATTTGTCATGCCATTAAAGAATGATATATGCATATGTTAGCTTACATTGAAACTCCTCATCTGCCTATTGATTAAGGTCAGATGATAATATATTAGAAATTATAGAAAAAGATATAATTGAGAAATGTTGAAAATGAGGGACATTTAAATAAGCAGGAAACTTAAATGCAATGTTTAAACCTGGATTTAATCCTCATTTCATAAAAGATTACCCTCTAGTACTTATTGATGGTATCTCTTATAGGGTTGATGCATTTTCTACAATAAAACGCAGATGTTGTTGTGATAAATAAATTGATACAATGGATAAATAAATTGATACAAGAGTGGACAAATTGTTAGAATAATTATGCCCCCACCGTAGCGGTGGGTGCATTAAGTTTTACCCTTGTCCGTCTGTAAGTACATCCCAAAATTGGTTTCCGTTCTCTAACTTGAGTTTGCCTCAACCAAATGTTATGAAACTTATACACAATGCTTATTACCACAAAGCACAGATCAAGTTTGAATTTTGGTGGTGTCACTTTAACTGTTCTAGAGTTATGTCCCTTTATAAATAGAAAAATTGCAAAATTTTTATTTTCTTCTAAATATCAAGTAATTTTTAAAATTGGAGTTCCTTTGTCCATGATTATAGTTGAATCAACTACAATCAATGCTTTATACAATGCAATGTTTAATTTGACTTCCACTGATAAAACACAGATCAAGTTGAATTTGGGTAGTGTCACTTTAACCATTATTGAGTTATGCCCCTTTATAAATCGAAAGATTGCAAAATTTTTAGTTTCCATTCTGTAACTTAAGTTTGCCCCAACCAATCATTATGAAACCTATACACAATACTCATTACCACAAAACTAAGATCAAGTACAAATTTTTTGTTTCCGTTTTCTAACTTTAGTTTGCCTCAACCGAATGTTATGAAACTTATACACAATGCTTATTACTACATGATACAGATTAAGTACAAATTTGGTTGCGACACTTTTACCATTCTTGAGTTATGTCCCTTTATAAACATAAAAATTGCTGAATTTTTCATTTCCGTTCTCTAACTTTAGTTTGTCTCAACCAAATGTTATAAAACTTATACACAACCGTTCTAGAGTTATGCGTGTTTACAGATAGAAAAATTGCTGAATTTTTAGTTTCTGTTCTCTACTTAAGTTAGCCTCAACCAAATGTTATGAGACTTACACACAATGCTTATTACCACAAAACTCAGATCAAGTTCAAATTTGGATAGCGTCACTTTTACTGTTCTTCAGTTATGTCCCTTTATAACTATATGATATGCAAGCGGGGGCATCATCTGTGTCCACATTTATTTTTATACGCCCGTTTACGGGACGTATTATGGTATACCGTTGTCCGTCCGTCTGTCCGTAGTCAACATGTCGGACATTAACTCAAAATTGCTTTAACCAATTTGCATAAAACTTTGGTGAATTGTTTATATCTATTGACGTGAGCTCCCTTTCGTTTTTTATAAAATTTAGATTTTACGTTTCCGAGTTATGGGGTTTTATTCATTAAAAAAAGGGGGATTTTCCAGTTTTCGGACAATAGGTCAAGAATGCTTTCACCAACTTGCAAGAAATTGTGGTGAATTGTTTATATCTATTGACATGAGCTCCCTTTTGATTTTTATAAATTTAAGATTTTACGTTACCGAGTTACAGGGTTTTATTCATAAAAAAAGGGGGGACTTTCCAGTTATCGGACAAAAACTCACAAATGCTTTCAGCAATTCTTATGAAACTTTGGTGAATTGTTTGTATGTATTGATGTAAGCTCCCTTTAGAATTTTATAAATTTTACATTTTACATTTCTGAGTTATGGGGTTTTATTCATTAAAAAAAGGGGTGATTTTCCAGTTTTCTGACAATAACTCAAAAATGCTGTCACCAATTCTCATGAAACTTTGGTGAATTGTTTATATCTATTGATGTAAGCTCCCTTTTTATTTTCATAAATTTCTAATATGACATTGAGAATTAATTATACTTTATTTGTTTATAGTCTGACAACAGATTTACTAAGTATTGCACAACAGCAAGAAATCTTTAATTGAACATAAATTCAATTCATATAACCAATTTCAAGTTCTTTGAATACATTTATTCAGAAACCTATAATATGTCAAATATTTAATTACAATCCAAATTCAGACCTGAATCAAGCTTGAATATTGTGTCCATTTTTGCCCCAACTGTTCAGGGTTGGACCTCTGCGGGCGTATCTAGCTGCGCTCAGCGAAGCAGTTTATTTATCTAAGTAGCTAAAAAAATTAATGGTAGGATGGTTGGGGTAGTCATTAAAACTGAAAATGTCCAGAAATATAAAAGGATAGGGATATTGGAAATTAAATAGCATTGTCTAAAATGATAAAATTATCAGATAATAAATACTTAATCTCATAAAATCAATTGTATGATGAAAACAAAAATATAGCTATTGATAAGGAGAAAATACTAACCTTGAAGTAAACTACTACAAAGATTTATATTCTTCTACGAAATCAGATAATGAAAATACTACAAAATATCAAAAAGACATAATGTCATATGAAACAAGTTTCAGTTAATTGCAATGTTAATAACCAATGCATGCATATATATTTAAATAAGTCCTCTGTGTATATATTTTCCATTCATCCATAATGTATAATCAACAAAAAATATTTCATTCTATGATTGTTGATCAAAAACTTTGGCTTTTCTATTTAACTTTCGGGTTTTTGTGCCAAAGTTTACCGATTGTTACCAATTGATAAACAAACAACACAGAATTATGAAGCACATGAAAAAATAGTGAGATGATTAAGCAAAATATATTTGGTTTTTGTCTCACCTGTGACGAAATTCGCAGAATGCGAGATATAGGGATTATAAACCAGCGGCGGAGGCGTAAATTATTTGTTTAAAGCTTTATATATCAGAAGGTTAGACCTGGATGCTTCATACCTTGTATGCAAACACTTTATGTTACAAAGTTTCCGCCTATCATATGTCCATTGTTCTTGACCTCATTATCATGGTTCAGTGACTGCTTGAAAAAAAATTATAGTGTTTTTGTCATGTGAATTTCTCACTTATTATTAGTAATAGAATAACTATATGCGGTATATGGGTTCCTTCGCAACGTCTACATGTCAGACAGGTATCATCTGACCGTGACCTTATTTTCATGGTTCATTGGTCAATGTTAAGGTTTGGTGTTTTGGTATGTTTCTCCAGTACTATAAGCAATAGGTCAACTTTATTTGGTGTATGGAATGATTGTAAGATGTACATGTTGGTTTTGTTAAAAATTCAGAAATTTCAAAGAGACAAGAAGTAAAAATTCTGAAATTTCAATGAGACAATTAAGAAACGTTGTGTTAACACAGTACCCAGAAGTAGCATGAAGAAACAATGTGTTATAAAATGTGAAAACAAATTCTCTCTGTAATTGTGGTTAAGTTTTACATAAAATGCTCTCACTTTTTTTTTAATTTTTAAAGAATCCTTTTCCAATTAGAACACATATGATAGAACTCCTAATCTCTCCAAGGTCTTCTGTACAAGTAATCTCCTTGACATGTATATAAATTAACACCTTGGTTGAATGTACATACAGAAAAGCATGCTGCATAAATTTTACAGTTGACTGCTACAGAACACCATCTTTATTCACATTTAGTCTCATTTTATGTTTTTATTTGAACTTGGTCAATAATAACACATATATGATCATCTTTTAGATTAAAGTTAATGATCCATCTACTTTCAAAGTTGTAAACATACCACTGTTAATGATCCGTCCACTTTCAAAGTTGTAAACATACCACTGAAAAAGAACCGATTGCTACCAAACTTTGGTTCAAGAGTTACATTTATAGTTTTCCTTAAGATGAATGCTTGATGACCCTATAATCCATGATCAGACACTGCTGCCCCTAATTCTTACCATCAGGCACTGATGCCATAGAAAATAAAAAAATAGAGTATTTGAATTTTGAAGGATCATGTGCCATTTATCTTTACTTTAATGATACACTATTGATCAATACAAACCTATCTTATTTAAAGAAGTAGTATCTACAAAAATCATGTTTCGAGATGAAAACTGTAAAGTAGTATACATGCGGTAAATTTATAGATATAAATGAAAAAAATATATTTCATATCATTTTCAGTACAGTATTCTAATTAACGTAAGTAATAAACCCTTACCATGCGGGGACCGTCATGTTAGGGTCTCAACCCAAGATACTGTTTTTTGGCTCCAAGGGCTCTCCATACTTTTAGTGAACTGTATGAAAATAACCTAGACCTTCTTATAAAGTTTAGGACAGCACATGTCATGACAAATTTTAATATAAACAACTTTGATTTCACTTCAACAAAAAACCATTTGAAATTCTGGGTGGCAAGGAGGATTTTTTCTGGATTGATCATTTATGATCATCTGTTGCTACGCATGCTTTTTTAGCTCACGTGGCCCATCATTTGGCATCCGTCGTCATTTGTTGTCGTCCGTCATCGTCATTAACTATTACAAAATCTTCCCCTCTGAAACTACTGAACCAAATTCAACCAAACTTGGCCACAATCATCATTGAGGTATCTAGTTTAAAAAATGTGTCTGATAACCCTGCCTACCAACCAAGATGGCTGACATTGCTAAAAATAGAACATAGGGTTAAAATGCTTTTTTTGTATTATTTTGAAAACTGTTATAAATAGAGAAAATATGACAAGGCAAAAATGTACAGAATGTTGAGCTCTACCAATTGTTCATTGATGTCAAAACTGTCAGGCGACTTCTTATAGGAGTTATTGCACTTGGATGACGATTTTTACCAATTTTTTGCATTTTTGCCTTATATCTTAAAAGTTATAATAGATAGAAACTTAAATAAGCAAAAATGATCAGCAAGACAAGATCTACATTAAAGATAATATGGAGGAAATTTAACAATGACTCCTTATTGGAGTTATTGCTCTTCAATGACAATTTTTACATATGTTTTTGAGTTTTGCCTTATATGATAAAAATTATAACAGATAAATAGAAACTTTAAATAACAAAAATGATCAGCAAGGCAAGATCCACAAACAAGTCAAATTTTGCCGATAAATTTAGTAGACTGTCACTCTTCATAGGAGTGATTGCCCTTAAATGAGGATTATTTTACCCTATTTTGTGTTTTGAGCAAAAACTAAAGAAGATAGAGAGAAACTAAACAGATAAAATGATCAGCAATATAAGATCAACAAAAAAACTAATTTTGTCATGAATTCTATTCTTGTCTAAAACGTTGGAGAGAGTCCATTGTTGGTTATGCACATAGACCTAGGTGAGCGACACAGGCTCTTTAGAGCCTCTACTTTTTTTTGCGTAGCTTAATGCCTCGTAAAAATTTATTCTTATATTGTACACATTTGCGCATTATGTGTTGCAGAATATCCATTTTTATCCTGTCTTGTGCATAGTTAATCATTTTCAGTTCTTACCAGGCCAAGTTATAAATTTTCAAAATCTTGAGCCTCTCAGGTGACCACATTTTATAATAATAAATAATTGACATTTGCAGCTCAGTTTTGAATGACAGCATTGCTTAAATCATGAATATGAATTCTACTAAACACTGACAATCTTATTTTTTTTTATCATGCTTCTAAAATTTTTAATCCTTTAGTTCATGTGCTAGTACATTCATCCCATATGTACTACCAAGAAAGGCTATTGCAACTTCAGAATGCATTTCATCACCCAGGTATGCTCTTTCCTGTGTTCCTCCTGGCAAATTTTGCTAAAATTTTATATTATTTCTTTTTCAAATGATTTTGTCAAAGTTGTCGTTTGCTAGATAAATGTTCTAATTTATTAGGTGTTTCCTGGGTTATATGAATAGGGGCTGGTTTTAAAGGATTTATTGTTGTAACCACAAAAATTCAACTTGTCAATTAGAATTAAGATATTGTCAAAAGAATGTTAAGTTGGATACCAAATTAACTTTCACTCTTATCTCTTATATATGCTACTCTGACTGCAGCAATCAAAACTGTTTGTTTAAAATCTAATATTTTAGAAGGAAGGGGAGCTGTACAGTTCATATCTTGTATGAAATTGCTTACTGTCTCCCATATCCAAGATGGCCGCCAGCGGGGGACTTAGTTTAACATAGGACCCTATGGGAAATACATACAAATGTCTTCTTTTAGAGAACCACTGAATGGATTGAAACCAAACATGGCATGAATGTTCCTTATGACGTGCTGACCAAGTGTTGTTACTTTGAAGCCGATCCATCATCCAAGATGGCCGCCAGCTTTGGACTTAGTTTAACATAGGACCCTATGGAAATACATACAAATGTCTTCTTTTAGAGAACCACTGAATGGAATGAAACCAAACATGGCATGAATGTTCCTTATGAGGTGCTGACCAAGTGTTATTACTTTGAAGCTGATCCATAGTCAAAGATGGCCGCCAGCTTTGGACTTAGTTAAACATAGGACCCTATGGGAAATACATACAAATGACTTCTTTTAGAGAACTACTGAATGGAATGAAACCAAACATGGCATGAATGTTCCTTATGAGGTGCTGAACAAGTGATGTTACTTTGAAGCCGATCCATAATCCAAGATGGCCGCCAGCGGGGGATTTAGTTTAACATAGGACCCTATGGGAAATACCTACAAATGTCTTCTTTTAAGGAACCACTGAATGGAATGAAACCAAACATGACATGAATGTTCCTTTTGAGGTGCTGACCAAGTGTTGTTACTTTGAAGCCGATCCATAATCCAAGATGGCCACCAGCGGGGGACTTAGTTTAACATAGTACCCTAGGGGAAATACATACGAATGTCTTCTTTTAGAGAACCACTGAATGGAATGAAACCAAACATGGCATGAATGTTCCTTATGAGGTGCTGACCAAGTGTTGTTACTTTGAAGCAGGTCCATCATCCAAGATGGCCACCAGCTGGGGACAGTGTTTGACAAAGGACCCTATGGACAATACATACAAATGTCTTCTTTTAGAGAACCACTGAATGGATTGAAACCAAACATGGCATGAATGTTCCTTATGAGGTGCTGACCATGTGTTGTTACTTTGAAGCTGATTCATAATCAAAGATGGCCGCCAGCTTTGGACTTAGTTTAACATAGGACCCTATGGGAAATATTTACAAATGTCTTCTTTTAGAGAACAACTGAATGGAATGAAACCAAACATGGCATGAATGTTCCTTATGAGGTGCTGACTAAGTGTTGTGACTTTGAAGCCGATCCATCATCCAAGATGGCCACCAGCGGGGGACTTAGTTTAACATAGGACCCTATGGAAATACATACGAATGTCTTCTTTTAGAGAACCACTGAATGGAATGAAACCAAACATGGCATGAATGTTCCTTATGAAGTGCTGACCAAGTGTTGTTACTTTGAAGCTGATCCATCATCCAAGATGGCCACCAGTTGGGGACAGTGTTTGACAAAGGACCCTATGGACAATACATACAAATATCTTCTTTTAGAGAACCACTGAATGGATTGAAACCAAACATGGCATGAATGTTCCTTATGAGGTGCTGACCAATTGTTGTTACTTTGAAGCCGATTCATAATCAAAGATGGCTGCCAGCGGGGGACTTAGTTTAACATAGGACCCTATGGGAAATATTTACAAATGTCTTCTTTTAGAGAACTACTGAATGGAATGAAACCAAACATGGCATGAATGTTCCTTATGAGGTGCTGACTAAGTGTTGTGACTTTGAAGCCTATCCATCATCCAAGATGGCCACCAGCGGGGGACTTAGTTTAACAAAGGACCCTATTTAAATACATATGAATGTCTTCTTTTAGAGAACCACTGAATGGAATGAAACCAAACATGGCATGAATGTTCCTTATGAAGTGCTGACCAAGAGTTGTTACTTTGAAGCTGATCCATCATCCAAGATGGCCACCAGTTGGGGACAGTGTTTAACAAAGGACCCTATGGACATTACATACACATGTCTTCTTTTAGAGAACCACTGAATGGATTGAAACCAAACATGGCATGAATGTTCCTTATGAGGTACTGACTAAGTGTTGTTACTTTGAAGCTGATCCTTCATCCATGATGGCTGCCAGCGGGGGGACTTCCTTTAACATAAGACCCTATTGGAAAAACATACAAATGCTTCTTCTAGAGGTGCACTGAATGGAATGAAACCAAACATGGCATAAATGTTTCTTATGAGGTGCTGATGAAGTGTTGCTACTTTATTGCTGATTTACTGTTCAAGATGGCCACCAGGATTTTTTATTAAATTACAGGGCCAATATTAAACCAAATTTGGCCTCACTCATTATGAGGGTATCTGTTATGATTTTAATCTATTTTAACATGATTTCCAAAACCAAAGTAGAATCAGGTGAGCGACACAGGCTCTTGAGAGACTCTAGTTTTGCAGACAGTATGGTCTGATTACCAATTTTTCACTTTTCAATGGAAAACTTGCATGTAGTTTTAGTCTCAATTGGCATATATTTGAACCACTTACTATCCTAAAAAAGAAAATTATGGTAGCATATGAAATAAATAGGGTGTACTGATCATTGTAAAGTGGTTTTTTTTACAGATTTAGTGAAATAATTGTGATGGACTACAGATTTTATGTACAAAGCTCTTCACATTTCACATACATCAAACAGGCCCTTTAACCAGGGACATAAATACAAATATTTTGCACATTTTTTCTGTGATAATCTACTTTTCTCTAGATTCAGAGTTCGCAAATGGTTAATTAAATTTGATTTAAGCATAGAAACACAAATATCAGGAACATAAAAAGCTGTCAGATAAAAATTCAGCATGGCTCTTAGACATAAAATGGAAACTGCTTTAAAATGCTTATTTTAGCCGTATAATGCCAAAATGGGACATTTTAACAGAATTTCTGTCAAACAAAGATGTAAATCCTTTACTTTTATTGAGTTTGACAAATTGAAACCAGCAAACCATTCAGGAAAGTTGCCAAAGTACAGAATCTACATTTACGGAATTCATCTCTTAGGCCCGAGAACACAGTTATTTCGTAGTGCATTTCTTTTAGACAATAAATTCAAATTAAAAAAATCGCACCTGCTCTATCTCAAAAAGATTTTTACAGTGTAGTGTACTACTATTGATACAAATAATATCAAAATTATAGAAACTTCTACTAGCTCTAACTCAAAATATTGACAATTCTGTGTTAAGGGGGGCTAAAATTCAGTTTGACAGCTTCAGACATTCTACTAATTTTTGACCTTTTTTAACTGGTCCAAATCACTACTTAACAAAGATTCAGCACCCAAATTTTTTTAACATGTAATTTCATCCCCTTACTTAATATTTCATGCATAAAATATCAAGAAAAAAAATTGGGAAAGTGTTTCAAAAAAAAATGCAAGTAATACACTGTTCACACAAGGGACTATATTCGTAGACAACGAAAACCAAAGGACGATAACTGTGTCCTTGGACCAATAAACAGCCATGAAGCTTACCAGTACATGCATATATAGTCAATAGAAAAGAAAGGATATGGGGTATCCATCCATGACACAAAATCAGTATATGCTCAGCAAAAACCTCAAAAAACAAAGGAACAGTGCTTTTATTGCTCTTCTTCATCTCAAAGTCACAGTGAGGCCTTCAACACGGAGAAAAAAACTCTCACCTCACTGCAAGTTTAAGACGGTCCCTAGCTACGGTTTGAACGGAATTCTTTGAATTCTTTCAATAAAATTTTATTGTGAGCATATTTACATTTCAGAATACAGACATGTTTTTGTTCCTTGTAAACCAGTTGCAACATTATCTACCAAAATCACCAGTCAATATAAACACTGAGCATGGAAGAAGTCAAAGATGTGATGAATTAGAGTAAGTAACTGTCAGAGGTGTGACAGAGAAGATAAAATACACAAAGTTAGTAGATGTTCTATATATGATGTGACAAAATTTCCATAAGTCTTAAGGTGGTCTACTTATATAATAGCTAGTATCAAACACATGATGATCACTAAGGTGATTTTTATAGGCAAATAATGACAAGCTTTGTCATACATCAGAGGGGTCAACCCGCTATTCTGACACCTCATTGGTACGACACCCCATTAGTCCTACACCCCATTTGTCGGACACCCCATTAGTTTGACACCCAAATAGTCCAACACATTTGCAGGTCATAATTGAAAATCTAGTTCATAGAATCAGTAGACGTGGTATTTCAACTTGTGTCTACCCTCCTTCTGAGTATAAAGAATTAAATGGAAAAACAGCACTTCACGTCTGGTATGTAAGAAATACCATGATCCTATAATTATAAGGCAATCTACAACCTTGCAACATTTTGCATTACTGCTATAAAGTGTGACCTCGCTGTTTCATCAAAAAAACAATCTGCTAAAAAGTGAATTTGATTGACTGATTGCTGTTTGCTTTACGTCCAATTAGATTAACAATTAATGCAATAAGTAGATACTGAAATAGGATATTTCCAGGATTAAAGGGTGGAAAATTGAGACTGCCATTGGAAAATGAGGGTATATTGGACAGAATTCTGACCGGAAGGGGCTGCTTTTTTATACATCCAGCAAAGCCAAATGGACGCTCTACATTTGCAAGGGTTTATACTGCCTGCTGAAAAAAAAAGACCAAAAGTGAGCACATTTCTATAGCATTATCCCAGTCACCCTTGGGTTGAAGAGAATTTGAAGAACAGTCTCTCATAGTAAATAAAATGTCCAGACCGCAATATACTCCCAAAAACGGTCAAAACTGATTTGCAATGAAAAGAAACTTATTTTATCCAAGCATGTTGGTTTCCATTTATCTACGCTGAAATTGAATTCAAAGATCGAAAAATTATATGAAAGTCAAAATATCCATAGTAAAGTTGTGCAATCGCTAATATTTTGTTCTTAACATTGAACACTTTCTAAAAGCTTGTTTACGGGACGTATTATGGTATACTGTTGTCCGTCCAGCCGTGTGTCCATCTGTCCGTCCGTCGTCAACATGTCAGGCAATAATTGAAAAACGCTTTAACCAATTTGCATGAAACTTTAATTATTTGTTTATATCTATTGACGTGAGCTCCCTTTCGATTTTTATAAATTTTAGATTTTATGTTTCCAAGTTATTTTTATTCATAAAAAAGGGGGATTTTCCAGTTTTCTGACAATAACCCAAAAACACTTTCAACGATTTGCAAGAAACTTTGGTGAATTGTTTATATCTACTGATGTGAGCTCCCTTTCGATTTTTATGAATTTTAGATTTTACTTTTTCAAGTTATGGGGTTTTATTCATTAAAAAAACGGGATTTTCCAGTTTTCAGCTAATAACTGAAAAATGCTTTGAGCAGTTTTCATGAATCTTTGGTGAATTGTTTATATCTATTGACGTAAGCTCGCTTTTGATTTTTATAAATTTTATATTTTACTTTTCCGAGTTATGGGATTTTATTCATAAAAAAGGGGGGATTTTCCAGTTTTTCGGACAAAAAACTCAAAAGTGTTTTGAGCAGTTTTCATGAATTTTTGGTGACTGGTTTATATCTATTAAAATAACCTCCCTTTAGTTTTTTATAAATTTCTGATATGACATTGAGAAGTTATTGAACTTTATTCTTTGAAAAAGCGACGGGCTCATGGCGCAGCTGTTTATGAAAGGTTGTTAAACTCAGCTAAAATGGATGTATTTGCCGTCAGAATGGACTTATAGTAAATTTATACTATACATTTGCAACTGGAAGTTAAGCAAACCAAAAATATCAATCATGTAAGAATGGCTGGTAGTGTACTCTGAAAGCAGTGATTTATATTTGTTTTTATTGCATATTCATTCAAAATCAAACTCTAAAAATCAAAATAATACTTTATTGGTGATCTGTTCTTTCCACCTAAACACCTTGGTCATGAACAGCATAAGCAAACACGATAAGTGAAAATAATTCTGTTACAACACACTAGGACAATGACACAGGAATGAAATTAACATTTGTATGCATATAGAAATGAACATACACAACACTTTTTATGCATTTTTAACCTGCTAGGAATAATGGGCATATTATTCACCAGTCTTTGCTCTTGCTTGGCATAGAAGTAGTAAATATCGAAGTCGCATATTTAAACCGACCAAATATCGACCTGATGTCCTCCTGTATTATGTGAGACGAGCAAGACACCACTGATACGGTAGTATACGGGAATAACCTGGACTTGATGTCTTGACCGAAAATCCAAATAAATAGGACACAGTAGCCAGAGAAACCCTAAACAGAGTCGTGCATGTCTCCTATTCAGGCAAGAATAATAAAAAAAAAAAGAATGATATTGTTTTACACTAAATTCTTCCTCTTCTTTTTTGTATGTTTCGGAACTTTTGAGGTCGACTTAGTTTTTTGGCATGCAGGTCATATCACCATAAGAAATGTTTGGTTTGTGATTACATGTATTACTAATGCACAGCCATCAACTTTTACATTATGTAAAATCATTAATGTTTTTGGCAAGTAAGCTTGTTCGGGCCTAAAATTTCATATACAAATAACTTTTATCTGAATTTACCTTGGTTTCATAATTCCAAAGTTATATTAACCTTTGCTAGAAATCATTTGATTTTCTTATTAGTTCTCTCTGACCCCAAGTGTGACTGGGTATTGAAATAAGGTCATCTCTTGGTCTTCTTCCAACTGACAGTATGACCCTTTTCAAAGTGGGGAGTCCATTTGGATTTGCTGGATGTTTGAAATCGCAGCCATGTCAGGACGTACAATCCTATGCCTCATTCTTTGCACTGAAAGAACCATTACAACAACTCTTTGGCGGGTCCGAATGGGTGACCTATTGTAAGGCTAAATTTCTTATCTTACCCAATATACCATCATTTTCCAGGGGCATTCCAAATTTCCCTTCCTTCATTCCAGTTGACCCCTATTTCAGGACTTACCAATAATTGTATTTATTGTTAATTAGTTCTCATCCTGAATATTTTTGAAATATTTGCCACTGTACTTAAAGCAAACAACAATCAATCAATATTAGTTCTTTCTTTAACTAATCTCTGTTCCAGCTTCATACATATGAGGAGTATTGGCATATTCCTGTGATAAAAACAGCCATAAAATAAATAAATACAGGTTGGCCAGTAAGGATCTGAATTGTTTTCATAGCAAAGAACCATACTGACATTATACAAAACTCAAATAACCTGATGATCTTTATAATCGTTTTTCATGTTGAGGAAAATTATGAAATTGTTTATATGATAACCCTATTGTATTCTTATTTTCCCCCTATTTCTATATTTACAAATACATATTTTGTAAACTCGTACTGAAGAGTATTACTTGGATGGGAGATATCATTGAACCAGTTTACTCACTGTTTGAAAAAAGAACAAAATTACGACAGAATACTTCAAGACAAGTGTTCTGCCATTATTCAATTCAATTTTTTTTTTTAAATATTGGTGCCCAAATAGACAAACTAGACTGCATGGTGTTTGTCTTCAAATAATGGCATTACTGTTACATTTTAGAAAAAATCTATTAAATCAGAAGTTTTTATCACTTGAGTTATGCCAGAAAAACATGCCCGTCTTATTCACTCAAGCCATTATGCACACATATAATCATGTAAACAGCAAAGCTCTATTGATTCCTTTATTTTCTTACTGTGTCCCCTTTAACCTGTATCAGAGAGACAGTATATTCAAGGATGTCTATGTAATTCGACAACACTACAAAGAATTTTTGCTTATAGTTACGCTGGTGATGAAATTCTGCTACTTCAGCACTAAATACATGTACCTATCTTGATAACTTGCATCACATGATCACACAAAGGACAAGGTCCTCCTCTTAATATCTTTAATTTGGCTTTCTAATATAAAAAACAAATACTTTTAAATATTCCAATGTCGGACTAATGGGGTGTCGAACTAGTGGGTTGTCGGACTATTAGGGTGTTGGACCACTGAAAGTGTAGGACTATTGGGGTGTCAGACTAATGGGGTGTGGGAATATGGGGGCTGCCCCACATCCATATGCTTGAGGTGTATGCACCCATAAATTTTCTTGTTTCCTGAAGCTTGCTTTTATTTTATTTACACTGATGTCTGTTTGAATTAACTGTACATTCCCATACATTATTATACCCCATGAAATGAAGTTGTGCAGGGTATAATTTTGACCCATTTGTCTGTCCGTCCTTCACTAAGTTGTCAACATGATATTTTTGTTATCAGATCCTCTTCTAGCGTGGATGAAGATTTCCACTCATGGATACCTCAGATGACTTACCGGTAGATAAGCAGAAAAATCTTAAATAGGGATCATTGTTGCAGGAAGGGGACTTTTAAATACATCCCATATACTGTAAATTCGGAAAATTATTGCGAGGTTTTTATTAATGCGAATAGTGCGACTGGGTTAGTATCGCAATAATTAAAAGTCGCATTCTGATATCTGATACATGTATCTGTATGCAGATTTTCCTGAAATCGCAATGATTAATCTCGCATTATTGTCCATTCTTCATAAATCGCAATAATAAATGCACGCAATAATTTCTGAATTTACAGTAACTGGATTTTTGTCTCGCCTGTGACAAAAGTCACAGTTTGCGAGACATAGGGATTACTATCAGAAGGCGGTGTAAACTCTTTGTATAAATCTTTGTATTTCAGAAGATAGAAGACTTGGATGCTTGTTACGAAATTTCTGTCTGTCATATGTCCATTGCCCTTGACCTCATTTTTGAGGTTCAGTGACATTTTGAAAATTGAAAGGTTGAAATTTTTTTTATAGTTTTTTGTCATGAGAATTTATCACTAATTATGAGTAATAGGATGACTATATTTGGTATATGGGT